CCAGCTTTAACAAGAAGTCCCTACCTTTACCCCTGCTAGCATGCCAGTTGTGGAGACACTGAAGTCAAGGTAAGCAAGCGTTTCAGGGTTAGAAGGTTTGTAGATCTGTGCAGGCCGCTTCTTTGGCAAATCGTCTAGTGAAAACAGAGACAGAAAATGCGTGTATCTTACTCCCATGACAAACAGACCGCTGAGCGCTTGACAAACACAGCGATAAAAGAAGACACAGAGGTCCCCCAGCCTTAGTACTCACCTGTGTCTAGTACTGGTGGCCATGTTCTGACATCCACTGCTGCTGCCGCCTCTCGTGACCGTAACAATTTACATATTAATTGTGTAGTCATTAAGCAGGCAGAGCGGCTCACCTAGGAATTTAAGAAATAAATAATAATGCAATGGGATACTGATTCATCCTCCCATGAAAATGAGCAAGACCACGATGTATTTTCTGCCAGAACTGGACACAGCTGTCTTAGTTTTAAGTTTTCCAATCAGAAGGTGGAAAGATACACAAAAAATGTAGCACAAAAAGCACACAGTGTCATGTGAGTTTTACAAATTACATTAAAATTTCACTTTGAGAAGACTGAATGAAAATAAAGGCACCATGAGAGTGAGAATATGACTTTTCCAATACATTATATCAGTTATCAACCCAGAATGCCAGTACAGATGACTGTGACCAAAACATTTCCTATGTGATGATAATGTATCTTGGTTTATAAAAAATATTTTCACACAAACCAAAACCTAGCCTGACATTCTTATGAATAATTTTGCTATCTTAAGTCAATTTCATGTTAGCCATATATTTCCAGTTCCTGTGATAGTGCTAAACCACTGGGAGCTCTTCTGATACCAGCAAAAGTAGCTCTAGATCAGATATTGTGCAAATGGCACTAAGAAATGAAATGGTGAGTTTACTGCAAATACGATCTGAACTGAATTTTAAATGACATATGCTGAAGGTATTCTCCTTTTAGATTTGCTATTTTTAAAAATTTGTAAGTAGCAACTACACTAATACTTCTTACTGATTATAAAATTTAATATATTTAAGGAAATATTCAGACAAACATAAATATGAACACTGTTAATCACTGAAGATAGTACAGAGGAAAAACTGAAAAGGCAGCACCATTCTTCTTTTCCCCAAACTTTGAGAACCTGTGCAAATATTGCTAAAAGTATTTTTTTCTTTAAGGAATCTGAAATATTTCATGGCACACTGAATTTCCAGTGTTCAACTTAAGGAAATCAGTAGCCATATACGCACTAAATTTTACCAGCCAGCAGAAGAGATCAGCTTCTGCTGACAGTAATCTCACAGAGGTCAACTTTACAGAGCACATGAGGAAATTAGGAGCATACAAGCACTCACCCAAACTCTACTTACTTTGTCTAACCTCACAATTTCCCTGTATGAACAATCTAAATATTTCAACCTAAAAGTGAAGACAAATGAAGTCACTGCAGGACCCCTCAAACCAATCATGTCACTGAAGGCAAGGTAAGATAATTCTTACATAGCTAATCTTAAATCTATAAACATCTTGATCTGGGACATAGTGGAGCCATAAAACAAAAGGAATTTCAAGATTTGGTGATTACTAGCCCTCTCAGGAATTATATTATCTGGAAGATCAGGAGGTTCACTAAAACACAGACCGTCCACGCCTGGAGAATAGCAAGTGGGAGGTAAACATGTAGGGACAGTGGGAAGGAGAGAGAAGACAGCTACAGGCTAGCAACTGCTCAAGATGGGGCTCAATAATGTTTGGTTATGTTTTACTACTACCAGTTCATCACCAGAACATAATTATGTAGGCCAAATTTTGTTCAGAAGTAATTCTTACTGACTTCAAAAGGTGCTGTGTAGACATATAACATGTCAGAGCAGGCTTTGACCCCATCGCACCAGGAAGTTTGTATGATTGCCTTGGCAGTGAAGGAACAGCCTCAATTATTTCAATTTCTACAAGGTCATCCCTCTCCAAAATGAAAAAAATCTTGTGTAAAACAGAGCTGAGAGGCTTTTAAGTCAAATTGGCATTAATATGGTTAATAAATTTAAACATTTTATTTAAAGTTAGTCTATTGAAGGGACAATGATTACAAGCCAGCTTAGACCCACCCGAGATTTTCATCATGAAACCAGATAGAGCTATTCTGGCTATTAAACATCAAAGGGAAAACAAAATAACACATTTTACATCGCTTCTATAATTTTAACAGCTGATGTTTAAAAACTGTGAATGCTAAAATATTAAATAATGAGAACCCTGAAGACAATACAACAATTTCTCATACCTTTACTGATAACTTTGTGGCATCTGATGCCATGAAGAAAGCCTCAAATTATAACTATCTCTGTTATCTCTGTATAACTATCAACGTTAATTTTAAATGTTTAAATCACATCAGTCTCAAACTGATTTTCAGAGACTCATAAATCCATTCAATATATTAGAAACTGGAGATGTAAAAGGCTATCTCTGCAACCATTTTATTTCCCTCAATAACAAGCACAATGCAGTTATTTATGTGCAACAAAGACTAAACATTATTAGATAAAGCCAAAATACCAAAAGAAAGCATTGAATGAAAAAGTCTGAGTAACACTTTTCTGGATGAAACAAAATACCAATATCTTCATAACAGAACTTTGAGATTGCTTCAAACTGCAAAACAATGAGAGGTACAGAGCTGAGCACAAATCACCATCAGGTCAAGCTAAGCTTTCCATTGGGATTTTTCTCAATAGTCAGTGTAGCGTTCGTTGCCAGGTGAGGAATCCTACCATTCTTGGCATACAGCTAAATACAAGAAAGAACTTCAAATATATTCCTTGAAAGGAGTAGCTTAACTGAGTCAAAATGTGACAGTGAAAGTCAGAAGGTTGTGGGCTACCAAGCAGTGTTGACTCTGTAACACAGTCCTGAATTTTTGGAAGGAATGCAACTCTTCAATCTACACCTGTACTCAAGTTACCATTCCTAAAGACTATGCAAATCCATCGCCCATTTAAGATACTCGTGCACTTTCAGGTGTCTGCTCACCTCCACAATCATCTTCACTGTAGGTAACGTGGTCGCTATATTCTGAGGATGTGGAGGTCGAACTGTTATTGGCACACAGCCTGCATACAGGCATCCGTAAAATGCAGCAATCAGGTCTATTCCTGCACAAAGAACAAAACAAAAATCCTCCCCTGAAAATCAAATCATTTAATTACAGACACCCATGTCAGCATAAATATTACTTGGAACTCAACTCAGAAGGTTAAATGAGCGACTAAGCCCTTTAACAGACTTCTTTTTCAGCCCCTTGTCAGTATTTGTTCAGCTTCACTGATTCCTTTCAATTGTACTGTTCTTCTGAGCATGAAAAACCAAAGGCGACACACAAAGCTGCAGCCAGGTATCATCATTTATGTGAACTCCATTTTCACGATCAGAAAGTAACCTGTTAAAAAGACTGATTTCTACGGATTAATTATGTTCCTAAATTTACATTTATAGACAAATGAGAGTCTACAAGAAGAAGGATGCCTCAGCAAAAGGATGAGGTAGGATGATGCTTGTTCCTATGAGCTGCAGAAAGAACATCTGGAGGTTTAATGAAACATTGTCTTTCTCATGTCATTTTTAATCTCAGATATGCAGCTTTAACTTATCTACCTGAAATTTTACAGTAAAAAAGGGAGTAATGATTCTGAAAACCTGCTTCTAACATAAAACTAAGTGTTCTATATAAATATTGAGTGCATGTGACAGATTGTGGACAGTACCCTTCAGGCTGAACAGACAACAGCACAAAGACCCCTTGAATGCTGTTGTTTGATAGCTCCCTGGTGCTGTACACAGGCTGGGATAAGATGACAATGGGGGCTGTGTTATTCTTTCAGTGAAAAAGGATCTGCAGTACTGGCAGGTTATTGTTCCTTCAATAAAATGCTTTATTCATGGGAAGTGAAATCCAGAAAATAAAAACTTAAGTTTAAAATACTAGTAATCTTTTGTGGAAAAGGTTTTCTCATATTAACTGTTGAGAAATTACTCTTATAAACTATAAAGATTTGAACAGTATCTTGCAGCCCTTACAAATCAAATATCACAATACAGACCTTAAATTAGACTGTTTATTTCACTAACACACATGAAGCTAAAGATAAAAGAGCAGCACTAGATCAGAAATAATTTCAAGCAAATATTATAGTACTGGTTAACAGAAGCTTAAAAGCCCTTATGCCAAAGGATGAAAATCCAAGCCACAGAGACCTGTCTAGGTTAAACATCTATAGTGAAAATGGTGATTATAATTTGGTATTTCTTAATCATCTGCTATTTATTTGTCATATTTTTACTCTAAAAAAACACGGATTACTTCCTAGGTATTGCTGCTTTACCCTCAAGAAACTTTCAAGGGGGGATTCAACATGTGAATCTAAGAACACTCAGCAGACGGAATAATTTAGCAGAACTGTGTGCTCACACAATAGTATATTTCCAGAAAATAAAAAGAAAAGTAGTTAAATTTGACTGCTTTTAAGAGAAGAGGTTTTAAAAACATAGGTTAATCTTAATCTGAACCCAAAGAAATAATATCTATGCACATATGCAAAGATAAATTCTTTTAAATATGTTTTACTAAGTTCCAAGAAATGGAAGGCAATAAGGCAAATATTTTGTGTTTTGCCAATTAACAACATTTACAGGGGGGTAACACCACCAATGCAGCACCATTCTAAAGGATCCTGATAAACTTTCCAGACTACTAAGGTACCTAACACGGCAGTTCTTTACCTGGTGGGTAAACCAAAGCCACATGGTCTCCATCTTGTAAATGTCCCCTTTCCATCAACATGACAGCTATCTTCTCAGCTCGTTTATGCAGCTGGACACATGTTAGTGAGTTGGCTATTGTTCCCTGCACAGGAAGAAAGATAAATGTCACAGAAGAGAATGCAATGTGCTGAAACTCTATTTTCCTCTGCACTTTATAAGTTACTAGATGAGGTGCAGCCACAATATGTCATGCAATTAACTTAAATACAGAAACCTTCAGCCTTATGCCAAACTGCAGTTGGAAAGAAAAAAAGATGTTTGTAAAGCAGAGGAACGTTCTCTGTTCCTTTCTCTGGACCTTTGTCCCTCAACAGTGTTTGTGCTCTAACCAAGGGAGTACAGTAGTATACTAATTTCCTGCCCATGTAAGCTGTACTTCCCTTGCTACACAGGCAGCATTCCTGCTACAGCCAGGAAAGTGCCTTTATGGTCTCTGCAGCAAACTGCAGAGTCTGTGGAGAGCAATCCTGAAAATTGCACTTCGTTGTCTGTACGCTGGAGTGAAGCCAAATGGCACAGCAGAAATACTTTAAAAGACAAGAGACAAAAGACACAGGAGAAAACAATACTTTGTGATGGGGAAAAGAATTAGTCTGGAACAAAAGCTAAGCACATGCATATAAATGAAATAGAGAAGAAAGGCATTTTTTGAATTTGAGTATCTCTGGTCACCATGGAAAAAAAGGGAAGTGACAATATCCTACAGAATCTGGCTTTTTGAAGCACTTCAAATACCACTAAGAGATAGAGTGGTTTAAATTGGGTGAGTGTTACAGTTCTTGCATTTCCATATATGTGTCTATATATGCACACACACAAACACACATTTAGAGAAATATATACATCTGTATCACAAAATTCACTATCACAGCTGACATCTCAGAAGAAAAGTCTAAAAATGAACATGCAGGACAGACTGACTGCGTCTAGAGCTGCTCTGGACAGGTCTGGGCTGAGATAAAGGGACAGGGCAGTACAGGAAGGGCTGCACCTCTGCCTGTGCCCCTGTTCTGTGGAAAAAGGATTTCAGTCTCTAGTACTGTTATGACATACCTAGCACCTATCACAAGCATTAAGTTCAATTAAAAATAAGGCGTGTGAAAAAACTGGAGGGAAAAAAGGTAAGAATATATATACATACACACACACACACAGACACACACATTGAAAAAGAATAATCTATCAAAAATGCAGTGCAATTAAAAACGTTGTATCACTATTCAGATAGAAAGCAAGAAGGCCTACAGTTTTAAAGAAATACTCTTCACGCTCTATCTTAACAAGGCAAGGAATAATAAGCATTTGGTCTGATCGCTGGTTTCTATCCACCATCACCATCCCACACGCCACCGCAATATTTATTGACCACACACTTCAGAGAGGAGAAAGCAGTTTGATAACGGTCTAGCACTGGAAGTAGTGGCATGTTCCCAAGCATCAGTTGGCAATTATAAACTTAATTATAAACTGTCAACAAAGAGGACAATCTAACTGAAAATAAAAAGGACAAAGTCAGGGCTTATCATTCCTCTTCACCATCTTCAGCAACCACACTTGCTGAAATGTACTTCAGGCAATTTTAAACAGTCTTCTGAACAATGTGGAGATCATTTCACTAAGGAAGCTTCCTCTAAAGACATGCAACTATATGGATGCTGGATTAGAGATGGCTTTCATCTGTTCAGTCCTAAATATGTCCAAAGTGACCTGAAGTCTTGGTGTCCTTGTCACTGTAGGCCTCCCAGTAGGAACATGCTTAAACTCGTCCTTCCTCCTTTCAAGAAATTGCCTGTTTGCATAGTCATGGGAAGAAGGACCCTCTATATCCCCACATACATCAGAAGCACAGGCCCCACTGACTCAGAAAGGGAATTTCTGCAAATCATGTAAATGTGTCCAAAACTTGTTTACATTTAAGACTTCTGGCACTTGCTGCATGTGAACCAGTGAAAAGACTGTTTATATGAAGTGCAGGGAAGGAGAATCCTGTTGTTGGACAAGAACCACTGGCAAGCACCAAGCAACTATTCCCTTCGGGTCTTTTATACAAGGTGACCTGCAATGTAAAGGTGTTGCAATCCCTCATGACACACACTAAAAACAATGCACTGAGCTAATTTTGAAATATTCCAAACTCTCAAAAAAGCTTGTGTTAAGAGGAAAACACTAATATCAGTGGATTTCTATTAGTCATCAACTGCAAGATGCCAGGATGTTTTAGAACAAAGTACACAGACAATGTGCAAGGAACACAAAAAGGGAAAAGTTACAAACCAGAACTAAAATTCAAGATGGGTAATAAAACTTGCCTAGGTTAAAACCCACCAAACCTGTCACTCCTTTCCATAAACATTAAATCTCTCTATAAAGTATTACATCTCTCAAATTTCATATGATAAGATACTCCACACTGAGAGTAGCAGAGAAACTGAATTTCAAAATTCAATTATTTTTCACTTCTATGGAATGACAAATTATTTTGTTAATCCTTGTTTTGCACATTGTGTCCATCCTTATCACTGTTTGAACCCTTCTGCCAGCATGGGAAATCTGACTTTATTTAAAGCTCAAAAGCAATAGCCTGTGTGGAGGAGATGGGACAGTACATATCACTGTCTCTTTGTCACAGCATCTTTGCTCCTAATTTACAGGACAGAACAACACGCTATTTTGATGGTGTAATATTGAATCTATAAACAGCATTGTCTCTTGCAGGTTTCTACTTTTCCACAGACAACTACATTACCATTTCACTATTATCTGTCAAGTTGCACATTCGCATAATATTGCTTATTAGTCTGAATTGAAAAAAGGTAATTTAATGACTTATGGGTAGCCTCAAACTGAACTTTGGTATCAGCACTGTAACATGGGCTGGGGAAGCATATCCTTTACACACAGTAAGTGGTCATTTCACAGAGTTTCACAAATTACTGGAGGTTTAAGAATTCATCAAAGTTGCACAGGGACCACATGGGCTGTGACAACACCAGCTACTCCGTATGGCCCAGGGGAACAACATTATTCCAGGTCCCTCCTCTCCTGGAGACCCTCACACACTGCATGTGTTTCCCAGTTTTGACAGATGTGTCTAGATATACTGTGGTGGGATGATCTGAAATCAGACTTTCATTCTCTACAGTGGTCGTGGGAATTATTGGTTTGTCATCTACAATCATCTAAGAAGTCTGTAATCACCCACTCTTACTAACGCCAAGTTCTATACCATGTGACATGTATTAATTCATTTTTGATAAGCAATGAAATGCTGTGCCAGGCTGGCTCCTCATGTAGGCTATGAGAGACTTATTAGTGATCCTCTGCAGACCTGGTTGGATTCTGGAGATGTCTCTTCTTCTCTTCACCTCCTTTCCCCATTCTCACAACTCCCCCAGATGGTCCAGTCTCAAAACCAACAATCACTGTTTAATTTAGGGAAAATGCTTTGATTTTGCCAAACCTGTGCTTTTCAAATTGGAAATCAGGATGGTGAGCAGTATTAAATACTACGCTTTGGTATAGGAATGATCAGTATTGAAAGAGATTTGCAGTGTCAGGTCACCCACAACATATATGTGGTGGAAAAAGAAATGAGACATGTGGAAGGTGTGCGGTCTGATACAAAAACAATCTCTATTTTGACAACTGGCAATGATTATTCGCGTTTCCTTTCTGCTTCAGAGAACATTAAATATAACAACTGACTATTAATGGGAGAAGAAACAGGAAGGTCACGTTCAGCCCCAGCACAGGCAGGTGCAGCTGAAACACCAGTGTGCCATTTTCCATAGCGCAGCCTGTCAGAGCAATGCGCCGAGCTTCTTACCCTGCAGTTGAGTAGAGTGTAAAGCACATGGTCAGGAGTGGTCTGAGCTCTCCACTGCAACACTTCTGAGAGGAAGAGGAACTAAAATAAAGCAGAGTGGTAAGTCATGACACTAAATAAATTTTTGGCTTTAAAAAACAGATAACTATTTTTGCTAGTTTAGCTATGTCTTTCTTATTTATATGCTACATTATACATCAATACCCAGAAGCACTAAACATGAATTAATTCTCTTGTCATCACACATATTTATAGCAAGATGCTTTTGCATAGTAGCAGTGGCCCCTCTGGAAGTGAGGCCACTGCTGGGATTATGATATATTACTACATATACTTTCAAAGCAATAAAACAGTTCTTACTGAGTCTTCTGAATTTAAGCACAACTATAATTCTTTGGCTTCCTCGCTTTTTCTTACAATAAATATATAAATATGTATATAGTTTAGAACTTATTAATTTAATTACTCACATAAGCCCCCAAAAGAGCTGAATTTCAACTTAATTTTACAGGATCAGAATAACAACAAATAAGGTCAGTACCATATATGCAAAGAAAGTTCCCTGGACTCCACTTGAACCAGTAAAAAAGATAGAGAGCGATTTCTGGTAGAAGCCCCATTAACACCATATTGTTCAGCTGTCCCATACAAACTTATAAAAAAAAAATCCTTACAAATGAAATGCAGTGATTCTCCCCTCATGTCTATTTTATATTTATCTGTAAAGGAGGTTCTGAAATATTTTAGTGTGAAATGAAAAAAAGCCATCAACAAATTCTATAATAAAGTCTACTGAGAGGAAGTCGACTGCTAACTGTCCTGATGATAACTAGCTAATATAAGCCATATCAGAAAAGTTTAGCTTACCTTTCTAGCTTGGTCATTATCTTCTATTTGCCCCAAATCTCTCCCACTGGCCTGTGCAATTCTTTTTCCAGAGACCAAGTTCCCCACCATCACAGAGGCAGGGCCAATTTCTAGAATAAAGCAGAAATGTGCTAAGTGCAATAAAAATCCTTCACTTGTGGATGATAATTCTTTTTATTTCTTTTGCATTACATGATATTTTCCTCATTGCTATCCACAACACCAAACCTTGAGCACATCTCTGTTGAAACAAACTTTGGTTGATGGACCAGAAGTAACTGTAAGATACTTAGGCCTGGATTCATCCTCTCTGAACATATCTAACTGAGGAGCCCATTTAGCATGGGCTCTCTATAGCCAGAGACACATCTTGTCTCCCTTGATATGCAGAATCTTTGGAAAATTCAGCTCCTAATTTAGGCATGTACATTACAGTGCCTAAAACCAGATGAGATGTATCCAGGCTTCAGGGACAATGTTCCTAGTTCTCTCTTCTGTTCCCTGGGCTAAGTTACATTTGTATTAGGAATTCTGTAATGCTATAGACATGAAGTGACAAGGATTAGGAAGGCAGACGGTGTATATGATAAAATATATGCAAGCCCTTCAGTACAAGGTAGAAACTGAAGAAAAATAACTTCAGTTTAGAAGAAAGGAAAATGTCATGGCTGACACTTCTCCATGAGGTGGATTTCAATGACGTTTTGTTGCTGCCATTAGGGAAAAATACCTGTCTCTCAGATAGCATTTATGCTGATGTTAACATTTATCTTCTGCTCCTCCAGCATGGCTTACTGATCAACTGCAAGTGATACCAGGCTTTACTCCTAGCCTATGATGTCCAAGCTTTGTCCCAGTGATGGTATGTGGTATAAGTGTCAAAACACAAGATGTGTAAGTGATGAAATAATGTACAATAAACAATGTCTACAGACTACTCTGCTTTAAAAAGATGAAAGCAGTGTCCCCACGGTACGTCACAGCCCTGCAAAATGGGGGTGGGAGGGTGAGGATGTCCTGCTATCTGTTTGGTTTCTGCATTCCTGGCACTGCTTTTACCACAGTGATATACGCTGTGTACATAATGTATCTATAAGCATCTCCACTGCACTGATCCTAACTCAGTGATTACTTTGCAAAGCAGCAACAAGGAAATACCATAAGTGCTGCAGTTAAAGGCTTCATTGTTTTCATTAAGTTAGTGGAAGTCACCGTTAACCTCTGATATTCCCAGTATCCACAAACTGAGATTATGGTTTTGATTTCTGAAACATTTTTCCAAAGGTTTTAAATAAAGAAACAAGCTGACAGTTTTGGCAAACTTGCACTGAATTAATGATGGACAGTCCCCATATTTGAGATCCAAAGGATAAAAACATTTCATATTCCAAGCTGGTTTTCAAAATGGAAAGTAAGCAACACTTAGTCTAATGTAGGTGAATTCAGGACTTAAGCCTGAGGCTACAGATACAGAAATCCTTGAAATTATCTGAGTACTAAAATCTGCAGTTGAATTCAAAGTCAAAAATTTGCTAAAATTTGCTTGTTCATTGGGCATGAGTAACCAGTGACTGACTACAGCAGGCTACAAGGGCTTTCTTGGTCTCTTGACTCAGTGCTTTGCTGTACCACTTCATACAATATTCTTCATGAAGTCTGGCAGAACTTCTGAAGAACCATCTTAAAACTAGAGTTTTCCCTTAAATATACATGCTGTAAGAATAATCCAGAATGTCCCTACTCAGGTAAAACCGTTAACCTCATTCTTGGGTTTCATTTATTCATGACCAGTTTTTAAGTATTTGCTCTTCTTCCAATACTGTTATTTAGTGTCAACAGTCCTCTTCCTCTCTATTTCTACTTTACCAACTCAGCCTTCAAATAAGACAAGATTTTCTCTTTCTCTTTTTTGGTCTCAGCCCATCCCCTTTAAACATATCTGTTTAAAAAAAGCAGGAATTTACAAAAAACTACAGGTGTGGTCTCAGCACCTCAGTGATAAAAATGTCTTAATCTTTACTGAACTTAGGTTTTTGGAGTATTTTTCCTTGTGCTTTTTGTGAAGCTTCTGGCTTCTGCCAAAGCACTCATGTCCTTAACACACCTGGAATGTTTAACAGGAATGGCTGATCAAGCTGATTCTCACCTGCATTAACCGTTCCTTGGTTTTGCTCCATACAATACCATAAACACACACCATTTGCCTACAGGAAGGCAGGGGAGGGACTTTTTACTGAGGCAGGTAGTGATAGAACAAGGGGTAATGGGTTTAAGCTGAAAGAGGGCAGGTTTAGATTAGATATTAGGAAGAAATTCTTTCCTGTGATGGTGGTGAGACACTGGAACAGGTTGCCCAGAGAAGCTGTGGCTGCTCCTCCCTGGAAGTGTTCAAGGCCAGGTTGAATGAGGCTTTGAGCAACCTGGTCTAGTGGAAGGTGTCCCTGCTGATGGCAGGGGGGTTGGAACAATATGATCTTTAAGGTCCCTTCCAACCCAAACCATTCTATGATTCTATGATTAAGTCATGGTCCCTTTGCCTTCACTCTTCTTACCTGGTTGTTTTTGCCTTGGTTTAGGCAGGTTTGTTACACATGTATGGGGACACATCAGCACATTACAAGGATGCAGCGATCCTTCCAAGAAGAGCTGTTTGGTTTCTGACAGATGTATTCCTCCCAGCGGCGTCTTGGGAAGCGTGTTTGCTGGTACGAGCGCTAAGCAGTAGACTCCCACTTGATGAATACTGTCGATAGCCTAAAAAAAGCAGGAAGTTTATTTTAATGAAAGGCTAATTTTTCATCATTCTAATAAGCACATGTTGTTCTGAATCACTGAAACAACCCTAATAATTAACTGGCAGTGGAAAAACACTTCAGCAATGTCAGTGATAAGGAGGTTCTTTTCAGTGGGAACAGGTGGATGGGAATGTAACACTGATGTTATAACACTCATTCCAGAAGATAAAAAAGCAAACAAAAACCTGGTGACAAACACACAGAAATCTGTTAGGAAATGTTACCCAGGCATCCCTTAGGCACACGTTAGTAGCACATATCCTGGATATTTATTATTAACGTGGGCTGGCAACTCATGTGCCGAGTTTATCCAGCGTGCTTCTCAGAATTGAAATTCAAAGGATTCCTATCAGCTTAACAACCAGCCCATCTCACAGAGCAAAGAAAAATTTCAAAAGTTGCATGTATATCACCATATACCTACTGATGTATGTAGATTATAATTTTTAAAAATTTTTCTAAGATAATAACTGTTTCACTCCCTGCATAGTGTGTAAAAGATCCACAGGCAGGAATGGGAATTGGTACAATATAAGGGAAAACTAGGAAACTATCCATTTGAAAAAAAAATCTCTTGAATGGAAACCTGAAAAATAAGCATTTTTGAATCTTATAATAGCCATGTTCATTGTCCGAAAAGTGGAGTATACTGCATCACTTTCAAAAAATCTATAATGTACAGTATGTATGTAATTTATTTATATATGTAATTTATTTAGTTAAACATGAATATCCATGCACCTAAGATTTTCATTCTGTACACATTTCAACTGGTTATTTTCCTTACGTTGGTAACAAAAACTGCAGCAAGTGAGTTAGAAAAACAACTTCAGACATCCAAGCAGACTGAGAAACAACTTAGAGACAGCATCTCTAATGAGTAGTTAAATGTTCAAAAATATAATTTACTTAATGTGCATTTTAATTTTTAACTGTGAGAAAAGTGAATGCATACATCTGTTGCCTTGAAGGTACAATCTATACTCTGAGTATCAAATAATCATTTATACTTATGTATTTAAGTGTAGACCAATAAATTACTGATTACTCCTACAGAGACTCTAAGTAATGCTTTGCTTTCGGCTTCTGTTTGCTTCATTTTTTATTTATTTGATTGCAAAATTTCATAAGGAAGAACAATAAAGCAGCTACTTATTTCACAATCACTGCAGTTTTAGTAGTGGTATATCTCACGGTAGTATCAGAAGACCTCACTGCTGATCTACACACACCTTATCCAAAAGAGCAGCAACAGCAAGATATATATGACAGCCAACACACAATGTCTCATGTTTCTGACAGAAACCATCATAACCTCCTAATCATAATGTTATTTGTAGGTTCTGAAAAGCAGTGATAAATCAGGGGATCCTCACCTAACATCAGCTTGAAGGAAAACTGTTACAGGGCAAGTAACCATTCTTCTTCAAACATATGACCGTGTATCTGTTAGAGATGGTGACTGGAAAGCAATACTCAGCTGGGGTGGGATGAGGGGTGTTATATATAATTCCCCAGTGAATTTTGAACTGTCTCCTTTGAGACTTACCTCTGCAGCACAATGCCTGATAAAATGTTATGGGTCATTCAAAATTCTCACCTTCCACACTATGGAATTTGGCACTGAAGCAGGGAATGACTTTGTTTCACAAGGATGAGCCCTGATGAAGTGAGCCGTAAAATTTTGTGAGAGAAGAGTACCAGCCGATTTTAATACTGCTGGCATTTATGCCTCTTGATGAGATGGCTTGGTATTTCAAATTACTCTGTCCAGCCAGAAGCAAACACAGTATCTGATATCTTTATCCCTCTGTTTCATTGAGAAAACAGATTAGAGATACCAGGATTCGCAGAGTCCAGATCACTATGTTGTTCAATCTAAGAAAACATCCCTTTCTGACAAAATTCTCCAGGTTGACACTGTCCAGTTCTGCAGTAGATCTCCTGGCTTTGCCTAGTCCCGTCAGGTCCTGCCAGTGAGCTGGCAATGGTAAAACTAACATCCAGTCTGCCAGGTACAGGAACTCTAACTCTGCCTGAAGGGTCAGATCAGTTTGCAGCAGTCTGGGAGATGAATGCATATCTAGGATCCATCTGACTGAACTGCTAGGTGACCTGGGTCTTCCCTCACACTGTCACTGAAAAACCATACTCCCCCACTACTCTTGAGACACTTTTTCCCCAGCTTGACCCCTCCTTCTGAACCATGCTTCTGCTAAAACCCTGAGATGTGGTCCAGCCCAGTCCCATACGTACAGCAGCTCTACCATCCCTCAGCCCTCTGCTGAGGAGCAGGAAGGGCCAGGGGGAGTCAGAACGAGGTGCAACCCACTGGAAACAAGTCCTGCAAATCCATGCAGCTCAACTGTAGTGAAGAGATGCAGAGACAAGGCAAGGCACAGCTGAGGTAGGCAGTGTATGGCACGGCTGGCACAGGGTAGCACACGCAGGGTGTCAGATGAGTCCCACAAATACCATCAGAAAGGAGAAACCATTTGGTAGTTTGTTATCATGGACATCACTCAGAGTCATGACACAAGTGTGATATCATTGTGTTGCTCATTACTAGCAGATGATTCAGATACAACTGGTTACCACTTCCTGACATCTGTCATTAAAATGCTGATTGGGAAGGAGACACAATGCAGCCCACATGTTCCTGGCTTCTGTCTTCCAGCTCTGCTCTCAGCTGAAGTGGAATCAGAAACTTCTTGTTCACATAGTGACGCATGCCAGAGTTGCAGACTTCACACATGGGTGATGAAAGCAGCCACACATATGTGTACTTTGATATATGGCCTACTGTTCTCAAACACTGCTGTGACTTGATCATACTCTGAATAACAGGACTGACTTTTGGCAGGAGTAACTTGACACAGGACTCCCACAGTGTTCAGTACTGAATTCTGCTGGCTATGATGATGTAAGACATAATTTCTAGAAAAGTCACAAAAATGCTCAGCTGACAAAACAGGAGAAGTTTAAGTCCAAAGTATCAACCTTATCTTTAGGAGCTTGCTACTTGACGAAAATTATTGAAGCACGGTTAATCCAAAAGCCTTTCCTTCTACAACAGTTGCCCTAGATGCTACTAAGTGTTCCAAAGGCTTTCTGTGGGATAGACAAGCTAGAGGTTCTAGCCATTCTTGGTAATAATTTAGATCTACTGTGAGTATGAAATGCCTACAGCTGTATGAAATGTAGCTATCTTTTAAATCAAGAGAGCAGATAAAACTGTCTTGAGATGGATGAAAGCTTATTTGTTCTGTTTCTTCAAGGATACAGTAGACATTCCCTTTCTTATCCAGTACAAAGCAATAATGAATAAAAACATCTTCTCTGAATTGTGTGGAATCTTTTTCTTTGGCTCTTGGGTAAAGCAAAAAAGATGTTTGCAATCTATTTACCTGAGAAGAGTCCTTGAGGAAAGACAGAAAGGAATTTAGGAAAGGGAAGTGGAAGTAACAGGTGACAAGTTGTAGACAGAGCTGAAACCACTTCACAAGGTAACAACAGACAGACTTAATGTGATTATATCTCCATTAAACCAATTGCTTTTGAGGGAGAATTGGCTTAACCATGGAGATGGAAGATGATCTCAAGTATCTAATTTTTTTGTGTGTGGACATTAGAGTGAAAAAAAAAATTAGCACAGTAATGATATTGCATTAACTTGGATTGCTATATGTAAGGAGAAGATCAGAATTTTTTAGTATTCAGTATGTCTTCTGGACAAACTGCTGAACACCACCACCAAGGGGGGTTTCATCACAGTGGTATGTGCCTTGCATGATTCACCAGTCAGCTGGAATGGAATTCCTTGCAATAGGCGTCCTCTATGCAGATAACCTCACTGTAGATACCTAGATCTGAGCTAATCAGTGACTTTCCTTTATTCCAGTGGAGAAATCGGCATTTTTAGGCTGTATTAAATTGAGTTTATTTTAGCTATCAACATGGTGCACTATAAACAGATAATTCTCTCCCACTGAAGAGATATCTGGAGATCTAGCTCAGATACATATATCTACTTTTGATGAGGTCAACTCCGTATCAGTGCCAATAACTGGTCAGTAAGAGACTCTGGTAGCTTTTGACAGTAAGATTATATAATATATTAATTTATTACCCTTTTGAAGTAATGAATGACTATCCTTATAAACCATATGCTACTCTCCTTGCTATTACTTACTTCAATTCATCCCTGTTTTCCTATATCCCCTTTGATTAGGAAAAGGATCACTCTCTGGATATGTGTGGCCCAGATAGGCACTGTCACTCAGAAGAATCTAATTTTGTGCTCATTAGGTGCAAGGGCAACTGAAGGTGGACTTACAATTACTCGAAGACAAATGTCACTTACCCTGGGGGCCTGAAAGATCAATAAAAAAAATATAAAGCAGGAAAAAACAGCCTCCAAATGTACATAAGAGCATTACCTGAAGAACTCTACTCATCCACTGAAAACTGTCTTCCTCTGTGGAATCCGGCCTTTGCTCAGCAACGATAACTATCCTTTCATCATGCAGCACGCTCACTGAAAACACTGCTATTCTATAGAAGAGAAGGAGAGAAAGAGTATTTAGTGCCAGGTCAGATGGAAAAACCTGTCTTCTAAATTAATTCACCATAACTATCATTTTGCTATAAATTACAACTGGTTCATCAAGTACTATTTTATTTATGGGGAAAAAGCAACAAGAACAGTTTTGGCTAATTTCTGGAGGAGAAATAGGGGCCTTTGTTCTAGAGTCATGTAAATACAGGCATAATGTCGCAGCAGGGTTGGAGAAGTGAACCTTCTTGGGATAAGAAAAGCACTAAATTTGGGTCACACTAAGGTTGTTGTTAAGCTGTTATATAACAGCCAGCATAAGCACCTTCTTTGGTCCCATCTTAGAAGAAAGTAATTGCAACATGATTTTATGAGAGGTCTGCCACGTGATCAAGTGTGAGTGCATGTTACTGCATTAGGCTCTTCAGAAGTTTCAGATGTCTCCTGCTCAGTTTCAGCATATTAGGAAGGTCACACAAGGAACCGCTATCATGTTCAGGAGCTTCAGTCTTAGGCATATTGAAAATGTTCAACTCAGACAGAAAGGATTCTGTTGAGTCAACACCTTCAGAACTGACCAGCTGTTCAACTGGAAGTTTTAATAATCATGGTTTTGGACCTTAGTTTCTAAAGTTTACATCAACACTGTCTTAGGTTTCCCTTTGCTGTCTCCTGATTCTAGAACAGCAATGTGGGGAAACTACAGTGCAGATTAGGCACTGCCTTCTGAAAGCATTTTGGGTCACTTACGCTTGGTCTAAGCAAAATAAGGATTTCTACATAATAGAAGAAAAGAAAGCATCAAACCTTCCCCTGTAGACAAATTTCATTGGTTCCACAGCCAGCGCTGTTGCTACAATGTCATCAGCATTATGTCTTCTTCCACTGACAACCATCAAACCATCCATTTTGCCAATAACGAAGACAAGTCCACCCGGTCCTATAAAGCCTAGTAGTCCAGTCCTTATAAAAGGATATTCAGTAATAGGGCCACCAGAACTGGTCATAGGAAACACCTGTAAGACAGAGAAACACAGGTCTTCAATTCCATACACAGAAACCATGCTGCAAAATATTTCAGGCGTGCTCTCTCAGATGGCTCTTCTGGAATGAAGTAAACATGTTACTGGTGATGCTCTTAACTCTTCACTGACCATAAAGAGAGTGTCAGGAAACTCCTAGACTAGCACGTGCAGTTCTCAGTACCTGAGCTCCAGCAAGTTCAATCCCGCTGTTCACCATGTGCATTTTCCTTAACCATGGCTCTGTAAATCATTTATCACCTTAAAAAACCAACATAAACAGTATTGAATAAAAAAACCCACTGTGCAGAGTGCAGTAACCTGAGGTGCTATGTATAGGTTACTGAGAGAATAAATTGTAAACATTACAGTAGAGGTTCTTTTCAGTACCTCATGCTCATTTCCAGCACAGTGTAGAGGCATAAGCAGGCTAGAAGTTAAGTTATTTTAAGGTACAGTACATTAATGACTCTTGCAGCTGACCACATTTTTATCTAAGGTCAATTAAGTCCTCACAATATCGGTGATAACACCTTCTGTAGCATGTCCAAAAGTGAAAATACAGCCCTATACAAAGCCTATCTAAATGTCTGAACATCAGATACATACGTGACTTCCATAGGACAGATTTCTATCACTTCTTCTATCATAACTACTTTCGCATTAACATTCTGGGACCTGAGCTACTTTGAGCTGCTTTCTGACACAGCCACGCTTTCGTGCTGTTGCTTCTTTAAACTGAAATTGTCTAAAGGCAAGTTATTAAAGACAATAGCAAGCGGAAGACCATGGCTACATAGTGTCCTTCATGAAACATCAGATTCTGCTGCCAGATGCCCATGGGTAACTCTTACTGAACAGATTTAATGCTTATGCATCCTCAGCCATAATTCATTTTGGGAACACAAAACTCTTTGACTTTAATACCTGCAACATGAATTACACAGTAAAACAGAAAAGAGTCCCAACTAGAGAGGGCTCCTAAGAACGTGCTTAACTTTAAAAATGAGTTGTCTTGCTCACTTAATGGGAATTTATTTGCTTACCAGTGGGAATAAGCCTAAATATGCTGCTAAATAAACCGCAGACCCAGTTAAGAATTATGAATGATTTACAATTATAGCAAATACTACAAAATAAATGTAAGTATTTTTCCACCCTGAAATATGTCAAATCTGTGATTATCATTCACACTGGGTATTGCCAATTGTACTTGTAGCACAATAGTCAGCTATCAACAAATTTCAGATCACAATAGCACAGTAGGATTCCTGTCTTCAATAACAGGATGGAGAATCGTATCCACTATTGTTCTCTACAACTACCCGAAAGGAGGTTGTACTGTGGTGGCTGTTAGTTTCTGCTCTCAAGTAACTAGTAACTAGATAGGACGAGAGGAAATGGCCTCAAGTTGTGCCAGGGGAGGTTTAGACTGGATATTAGGAAAAATTGGTAGTCAAGTATTGGAACAGGCTGGTCAGGAAAGTGGTGGAGTCACCGTTCCCAGAGGTGTTAAAAAAGCATGTAGACATGGTGCTTCAGGACATGGTTTAGTGGGCGTGGTGGTGTTGGGTTGACAGTTGGACTTTATGATCTTAGAGGTATTTTCCAACCATAATGATTCTATGATTGTTTATTTAATGTATAGTGTTTACAACATTCAGATTCGCATTTTGCAGGAGATAGTCATGTTTGGTCTATTAAAAATGGTAATATCAGAGTGTTTGTTCAAGGAAATGTAAATGTATTTTTCTTAATATTTTCCTCAAATATTAAGAGAAAAGGATCAGAACTTAATAAAAATCTCAGCTCATTTTTTTTTCAGTATTTCTCTGATTTGTTCAGCATTCAATACTGGCTTCATCAGAAGTTAAAGATAACAAGTGAGCAGGTACAACAGAGCTATCAATACAGCTGTCTGTACTAGAAACCTACTGGAAAACAGATTCCACAAAGCAAAAGGCTTTCACCTAAGGCAATTCAAACAAAAGCAGGTGGGGACTAATTAGGAAAAGGTAACTTTGCTATTCAGATACCTCTTGAAGACTACATCTGCCAGGATTCTGTATACATGCAAGCCTTTAGTACTGGTTGCATTGTGGAAATGTTGGAAACTGCTTTTTAAAGACAGCCAGCAGCCTTCTACGGTTTGCAATAATCAAATTGTGCACGTAGCTAGCTCACAGACTTGTACAGTATTCCCTTTTAAATTCTGTCTTTCTTCCTGCTTTCCTTCTGATTATTTCAGCCCCTAGTATTTTCTTTCAAAATTAAAGTAAAAGCCTTTCAGAGTCAAAACTACATCCACTTAAAGAGCTACTATTGCACTTAATGAAATGGGCTTCAGTGCAGATTATCTGGCTAGAGTACAGGTCCTAAGCCACAAGCATTGATTATTACTGCTATTCTGATATTATTACCATCAATATTTACTATTAAATATTATCTCAAAATAGAAAAAGTCAAAAAGGAAGCATTTTATATAGCATTTTCTGGTCAGCTTACCTCAAAAGTATTTTTGGTCATGCCCGAGAGTCCATAATACGATGTACCCGTTGCAATAGCACATACACAAAGTTCTCCTATTTCATCTGTTTTACAGAGCTGAGGAATTCCATCTGGCTTCACTGAACACATTATAGCTAGAGGGAGAGAAAAGGACTTTAAAAATATTATAAATGAACCACAGAATAACATAAATGCTGTGGAAAAGACACTGTGGTGGAGTTGAGATAAACAAATAAATTACATGTAGACTAATGTCTAACTGTTGGTTTCTCAAACATTAAGGTGTTCAACATTATCAAATGATACTTATATTACAAATAATATTTATACAAAGAATGCAAAGATCTTTATGCAAACTCAGTTTTTACACTGATAACAAAACCTGATTTGCTTTGCTCTCTAAAATTTCAGTTGATCTGTAATATTGCTGTGAAATGTGATTGTGTTCTCAGGTTTTCATACTGAAGAGCAGACTTGCAGCAGTCAGTGCAAAATGAAATACCCTAATGGAATTCTTAATAATTATACTGCCAGGGAGGCAGGCAACCAGGAAATCCACCTCTCACAGAGTAGCAAGGAACACCACATGAAAGATCAAGATATTCTGGCAGACTAGTACAGTTGTTTTACTAAGAATTTATCACAGCTCAGACTCCCTCACACCAGTCTTAACAGGACTGCAGAGACAGCAGGAGCTAAACGAGAGGGATTAGAAAGCACTGGTCTGAGGAAGAAGCACTATTTTATGTCAGCCATGTGAATAAGAATCAGGTATGCTGCTTTAGTGATAATCCCTGGAGTCGGAGTCCAGCATGTGTAGATTTTGCAGTTGGAAAGAGGACATGATGACATATGAGACCAGAAATGAATCAGCTCGTCTCTTAAGTACAAGTATAAAGAATCTTGAATGACCTTTCACTCTGAGGATAAACAGGAGGGTGTACTTTTATTAAAACTATTAGAATTTATCAGGACAATGTACTATGAAGAGATGGCACATCTATAATAGTATCTTATATGATAACTATTAGACAACAACAAATCTTATTTTCCTTTATTTTAAGTTGTTCAACTTAAATTTTGTAAGATGCACATTATGTTTTATTCCTTTGGTGCATAACATTCTCTTATGAAAAACTACAGCATCATCCTTTTCTAGTCTCTATAACATCTCATTTAAAATATATCTCTCTTATGAAAAATCTTATCTTCATCTTTAGAAGCACTAGTTTCAGTTTGAATTTATCAGCCTGAACTGTTCAGTCATACTTCCTCTTTCTAATAAACAGGTGATCGCACAAGATCTTTGGAAAAACATTCTGCAAGCCTTCAGATAGCAATTTTTTTGATCCTTAGCATAGGTTATGAAAACTTTCACTACTGAGTCTCATCTGGGTCAGGCTTATGGATTTTTACAGCCTCCAACTTTCTTATTTTCTGTACCAGCATCTCACAGTTAAGGAATGGATGTTCTGATGTGGTGACAGGTTGTTTAAATCACGTCACTAATGTGAGTAAAGACAGCCCCTGAGGCAAAAAAAGAGAAGAAATCTTGGGATTTCCAAACCATGAAGTTCTACAAGGTAATACTTTTGGACTAAAATGTTTTCAAGTATACATATTCTAATCCCTAAGCTTTCTGTCTAACAGCAAAGCACTTGCACCTATAACCTTCTAAAGCTAATTATTTTAATCATAGTAAGTTTCAAAGAAAGTTCCTTACCTCCTGGCATCACTAAGCCAACATCCTGGACAGTCAGAACAGAAAGCTTTTCTTCAGAGTCTACTCGAATCACGCCGTAAGTGAGACCATGCATGGACAGAACTCCTCTGCCTGGTGGCTGGTTGCTGTCATCTGTTGGCCTGCAACCATGGGTTAGAACATCAGTGCACCATCAAGCAGGATAAAAGAAACCTAGCTCTGTCCTAGCTTAAAAACCAGGACAAAGAACATAAGCATTTACTTATTCTTAATGGATTACTATTGCAAATACTCCTCTGTTTGACAGTTTAAAATTTCACCTTCTTTTTTCCCCCTACTAGACCTGACAGAATCCTGTTTTTCAGTCATTTCTGAGTAATTACGTCTGTCAACTGCCCCATTCAGTAGCCACCCATATAGATGGGGCTGCAGAAATGAAAGTAACACCTAACATTTACCCAAAGCAGCTTGTATTTAATTTTCAGACAAAATTATAAAGATTGTTTGATTACCCAAATGAAGGACTGTTTAAAAATACTTGTTTTAAAAATACTGAAAGGCAATGCAGACAATGTGGAGGGAAACTGCACTCTAAATATTTGGAACTGATCAGTAAATAACTTGATAAATTCTCTTCACATTACCTACTTTGGTGCAACTTAGGAAACCAAAACCACCTGCCAGACTAAGAGCGTAACTCTAGCACACTGATATCAAAGTCAAGATTAGAAGACAAGTATGCTGTGTTTAAATCACAGATATCACTTCCCACTCCCAATACTTAAGCATTTAAAATTACTAAACAGAAGAAATGAGATTGTAACACATTCCCTGCCAAGTATTTGTGGAAGCTGCAAGGACTTTACCACCTTTATTTTAGTGCATATAATTGAATTCTTCTTCTTCTAATTTACCCCATGAAAATTAGAACAAATTACACCTTAATCAGTCATGGTCAAAATGTTGTGGATGCAGCCTCTTTGTAATGCCTCAGTTTGCTCAGATTCACTGCTGACACGCTGTACAATTCCACAGCATCAGCACAAGCTGTCTGTCAACTTGTTTCAATATAAAACCGTCTGCTGTACCAGTGGATACAATTATACGTACGTAGAGTGTGGCTTGAGCAAATGAATGTTGACGCGTGCAAGTTATAAAGTCAAGGGAATATGTCAGGGCTTTTCATGTCTGGAAAGATTCTTACACTGTCCTGTATTTTAAAATGCGAAATCAGAAGCTAACGTGATGCTGATTTGAGTATGGGTAATGCATCCGTGTAGAGCAGCCAGACTCCAGCTATTTTCAAGATTTAACAATATTTAGTTCAAGATTCTGCATTTTTCCTAAACAGTCCATCATAACACAACTATTTTTTTAACAGTTGATGTCCTTTTACATGACATTTCTCCTCTACTATGCTTGAAATACTAGATGGTCCTTAGCCAATCATGCTCATGTAAGCCTTTCAGTGATCAGCACTATAAATTTCAATTAATAGATTTTACGAGGCATATTTCTCAAGTGACACTGTCAACAAAGAAGGATGTGGGCATGCTTGAAAATGCATTAGAGCATAACAAATGGTGCTAGTAAACAAGCAGCTGCGATAAATAAAATTCCCATCATGTAAAAGGAACTTTCAGTGACATTATTGATCAACCTCCTCTCACCGTTGCTCCCAAAACCACACATTTTACTGCTCATGAGAAGAAAGTTTTCCTGCAGGCACATGCAGCTTCTCACAACCTTCTAGTAGAGGCCATCTAGACTTTCATCACATACATCTTCTTGCACTACTTATCCCATCCGAAGAGTGCTAAATAGAAGAGCGGGTGCAGCTTTGAAAGGCACCGGCTGTGTACAGGACAGGGGTGCCAGGGAGGGAAGCTGGGGCATGAGGCCTGCTGGGATCATGCTGGGGGACTTGTTAATAGTCTAATACACTTGCTGTGGCCTGTGTCCAGATAAGAGTTTTGCCCAGGTTTTCAGGAATCGTAGAATGGTTTGGGTTGGAAGGGACCTTTAAAGGTCATCTAGTCCAACCCCCCTGCAGTGAGCAGGGACATTTTCAACTAGATCAGGTTGCTCAGAGCCCCATCCAACCTGACCTTGAATGTTTCCAGGTATGAGGCATCTACCACCTCTCTGGGCAACTTATGCCAGTGCTTCACCACCCACATTATAAAAAAATTTCTTCCTTATATCTAGTTCAAATCTACCTTCTTTTAGTTTACAACCATTACCCCTTCTCCTATCGCTACAGGCTCTGCTAAAAAGTTTGCCCCCGTACCCTGGTAGTCTGACATGGATCCTCGAAGGAGACATCAGTTAACCGTGCTTGAGTTTCCTCTTGCAGGCAACGGGCTATCCAACAGCGAAAGAGAATGCAGTCAAGAGGACCAGGACAGAGGAGTGAGGCAGGGAGCAAAGCACCTGACAGAACCTATACATCCTCAGAAAGTATCCTGTCAACAACAATCCTGTAATATTTAGTATCTTATTTTGTCCTGTGCATGATATCCACACGGGAACAACCCTAAAACAAGTATCTCTGCCAAGCAGGAGGAGAGAAATCACTTGGAAAGAAGATGAGATATAAATACCCCATTCCAGTGTATTTATAATTTATTTTAAAGTTCACATTTTTAATTTCTTTACACATTCATTATTTCTGATACTGGATTTGGTATTCTGTAAGACTGCTTGTTAGACAGAGATAAATCATTTGATTAAGGTAGGAACAACTAAATAAAGGCATAATTCCACCTACTTCATAGACTAAGTAAATTTAGCTTAAACCACCAAACCTACCCCTTTAGCTTCCTTCACCATGAAAAAGTGACAATGTGCATCTACTCCAGAGCTGACTTGTTCATACTGAGTAGCTGTAGAGCATTGTGAGAATAGTTACTACTACCATTTACAGATACCAATCTATTTTACCACTATTTTTTGCCAGTCGTTTAAATGGAAAAAGACCTGTTCTTAAACTTTTGCACTCCCTTAAGCAAATGGGTTCAAGCTAATATACAATAAACCGAAGGGGAATGCCATAAAGAATTACTCGCATGACACATTCCTTTAAATATTAGGCTTCATGATTCAGCTCTAAGGCTAAAGTACCTATTAGTCTATTACTGACTGTCTTTTCCTAAACTATAAGGGTATTTCAACTGAAAACTGGTTTTGTTACTCTTCCTTGTAGGAAGATCAGTAAGAATACACCACAGATTTTGAAAGAGTCAGAGCATTAATAGGGAGCTCTCTGGATCTGTGCTCTGCAGGGAGCCATTTTAATGCATACTTCAGCTGTAACTCTTTGGAACTTGCATAATAATGACTTTACTGTCAGTGGAGACGGCTTGAATAAAATGAAAAATACTAAAGCTCCCAAGTTCAGCTGGTATTATCCCACCATTAAACAGACTTCAAAAAAAGGAGTTATGTGTTCAGTAACATTTACTGTAGTAAGAACTGCTCTGTAATTACACAGTGAGACACTGAAGATAAGAATGCCTTTTGAAAATA